CACATAAAAAGAAAACAAGTAGATAGAATAGAAAAAGAATAGAGAAAGCTAGTGTTAGAGGCCTTTTTTTAAGAAAACAAGCAGTTTGAAAATGAATAGAGAGTGCAAGTGTTAGAGGGTCAAATGTGTAGCTGTAATCATCCAGGTGTTCTGGGATTTTTGGTTTCACTGTGCAAATGGAACCTTAAACCTTGTGACAATTTTAATTTGTAAATTTACATTTGTTTGTAAAAATGTTTTAACTATTTTACATTGGAAAAAAAAGAAATTTCAGCAACATGTTTTTGCAGCAGTGTATGATTGTATCATATTTTACAACCAGACAGCAGACAATTCACAACCAGACAACATGGAGAATGTTGAACGGGGTAAGTTAAGACATGGATCATCACACCACTATACAAAAAAAATATACATAGGCCTATATATGTCCACAGATACGTTTATATAGGTTTATTTCATTTGTTGCAGGCAGTGATGTATTCAACAAATGATAACAACTAATAACAGACACAGTTTTAAAGCATCGCAAGCTAGAAATGAAAAGCACAAAGAACTAAAAAAATCAATGTATAGGCTACAACTAGCTGAAGTTTGCTGTGCTATATCCTAACATTACAAAAAGAATGCCTGCAATCATTCAGTCGGGGACGACTGCACAAAACGTGCACTGTAAACTAATAAAAACATTATAAGCTGTTACGAAATGATAAACAAATGTAGTTTGTGCAACACTGTAAATATATTTACCTTTAAAAAAAAATGAAAAACTCCATTAAACCTGCTGAGATATAAGGAGCGTGTGCTGAAATTCTCACTCAGTTCCACTTGGTTCCACGCGCATGTCTGGGCAACTCATGAATATTCATGCGTGCTCCGCCCACTGAAACCGAAAATCTCGGAAACCAAATATCTCGTAACACGGCCCGGAATGTTTAGTGCAAGTGTGAGTGCAGGCCATCGGGGGAGTGGGGAGGGGGGATGCTCGGGCTCGGTTCAAGGCAACCGTGCCTACATCATGAGGACTCGCGGACCTGGGTAATATGTTCATCAATGATAAAATTACGTTCTTGAAGTGACCATGACATGTATGGCCGAGGGCCCTTATGAAAGGGTTAATTTGCTCACTTTTGTTCGGAACAACACTTTATCCCCTTCTCCCAGTGCTCTTCAAAGGTGCAAAAATAGCATTTATAATTTTCATGCACCCATTTTAAGTCATGGAGCATCTACTAACAAGCTGATGATTTGAGTCAGGTGTAGGCCTATTTGATAAGGGACTCAATCAATCATATTTATTTCTACAGCACATTTAAAAATATCAGGTTGCCTATGATATCCCACTAGCTACCTATGATAACCCACTATCCTAGGCATTTGGCACCATGAAGACTGAGAAAAAAATAAATAAAAATAGCATCTAAAAGTTGCAGTTAGTGGTCAGTTTGTGACCAACTTTTTCCAATTATGTCATTTCTAGCGTTAAATTAGTTTTGTAATAAAATATTTGCTTAAATTATCACCATAGCACCATATATTTAGTTGTAGATCATTAACTCAGAAGTCTGTGGAAAATCAGTTTCAGGAGGTGCCTTCATGCATAAACACTGCCTGCATTGCAAGTCATTGGCTGATAGGGTAGCGAGGCATCTATTCAATTACCTAAGTTTATGCATGCAGCCTAAATATGAATGGGCTGCTGGTCGGCCTTATAGTATGGCGGCATGGCCTTAAAGTCAGCAGCCAATTCCCGCTGCCGAAGGCATGTTTAGATCTTCAAGAACAGTCGCGAGAGGGTGCAACATCCATAGAATAGTCTTTGTTTCATTCCTTTCCCTCAGAGAAACGAGGTTACAGCGGGTAACCTGATATTTTTAAATGTGTTGTAGAAATAAATATGATCGGAGTCCCTAATCAAATACTGACTCAAATCATCAGCTTGTTAGTAGAAGCTCCATGACTTAAAATGGGCACATTAAAACGCAATTATAAATGCCATTTTTGCACCTTTGAAGAGCACCACGGGAAGGGGTTAAAAGTTTTGTTCTGAATGAAAGTGAGCAAATTAACCTTTTCATAAGGGCCCTCCCACAAGGCCATACATGTGATGGTCACTTCAAGAAAGTAATTTTATCATTGATGAACATATCACCCAGGTCGGTGAGTCCTCATGATTAATTTTAAAAACATATGGCTATGAAGTAATTATTAAAACCTCCAATGCACCAAATGACTTTTGGCAAAAAAAAAAAATATATATATATATATATATATAAAAATAATGTCTACGGTCAGGGGTCCTCCAGGACCATGGCTGGGATACACTATGTTCAGTGTACTTTTAAAAAGTGGAAACTTATTTAAAATATTTATATAATAATATAACATGTATAATGTAGTCTTTATAGTAAATGTTAATAAACAGAAATAAATATATAAAATGAGCTAATGTGTGTATAGATGTCATTGTCCGATAAAAGAGTTCAGTCCATATCATTCTAAAAGTAATAGAGTTTATAAGTAAACCCACTAATAAAGCATGTAGATTACCATGTTATAGTGGAACTGCAGGACAGGTGAAATATCTTTAGAATGTATTATTCCATATAACCACTCATTTCTTTATAATAAAAATATCTTTCCAAGATTCAAATATAAACTAGAACAACAACACCATTAGCCATATTTTAAGTTTGTAACAGGACTCAGTAAAGACCGGTAATGAAACTGTCCTGTGATGTTTCCCAGGAGGAATGATACTCTTAACCACACTTATCTACTTGCATGTCATTTAATTGTCCTACCACTGCCACTAATGGGAAATCAAACCTCTGAAAATAATGTCTAGCAAGCCATTATTTATTTATGCATAAAAAAAAGATAACAGCACTGGTGCACAGATTGTTTTAATGGTTGTTACCCAACCATTTGCATTAATCTTTATTTGTCAGAGAGAGACTCTAACATTTTTAACAAAGCAACAGAGATATATTCTATCTATATATAATTATATAGAAAGGCACATTTTTTTGGCAAAATACACTTGCTGGATGAACAAATGCTTGAGTCCTGAAAGCAATAATTTTAGGGGAAAAAAACAAAAAAATAAACAGTGGTAAACCTTTAAAAGCTTTGACCTATGGCGCCAGTTTGGTTTAGGACAAAACTCAGTCACAGTACAAAACACTTTTGCGTCTCTTCCTAATAAAAAGAGATTACACCACTGGCAGAACACAACAGCATCAAAATTCACCATATATAATATATTCATAAATATGCAATATAGAGAAATAGATCCATACTAATGCCTGTTTGGTCCAAAGAGCAGTAGTCAGCTAAAGTACAGTGTTAATCCAGATACATACTGAGAAAAAGACACACTACCCCAAGACCGTCTACTGTCTCACTAAGAGACCCCTGAGCAAATGTCGTTTCTGTTTGGCACATTTTTTTTCCCTTTATATATTTATTTTTTTGTTTACCATTTCAAGAAATATTAAAATTATTTTTTAAGCTACAATGATGATGACATTGCCCAGCTGACACTGCCATGGCATTAAAAAGCTCAGTTTAAACATCTGTAAGTCTGGTAACTGCGATTTCAGTAATAAGCCTTTAACAAATGTTAGATACTGCTTAACAGATCAGTGGTTTATGTACATTCAAATATGAATGTACAGTGGGTACGGAAAGTATTCAGACCCCTTTTAGCAAATGGCTGCAATATAACAAAGAGTGAAAAATTGAAGGGGGTCTGAATACTTTCCGTACCCACTGTATATGAAAATATATTAAAATGCCATTTCTATTTCAATGTACATTAACCTGTTCTGTTAACATTACAGATTTTTGATCTGTAATATATAGTTTTTGTTATTAATGAACAATATTCTATTTTCTGTAAAATCTTGATTTATCTATCTTTGCAGTTTTCTAGAGGTACCTGCTAAAAGGCAATGATTGCAATGGTAGCTGTCTCTAAGTGAAACTGAACAGTAAACCTGAACTGAAACTTCAAATTAATCAATAAAATTTTCATCAGTGCAGCGCAGTGTAGGGCACATTAAGGGCATGAACTAAGTGCGATGGCTAGTCTGCAGAATTTTAAGGAACATTAAAGCTATGAGTCTTATCTGTGCCATTAATAAAAAAGCAGCAAGCACATTGCACAAAAGAAATCAATAACATTACAAATGATACAAGAGCACCCTGAATCAGAACTGAACACCATTATCTAGAGTAGCTGAACAGCAGATGGACTTGAGTTCTAGAGTCGTTGAAAATTCCAGTTTTGATGGGTCTAGAGTGGCAGCTAAACAAGGCCTTACATATGTACATATCAATTTGAAGAACAGTAGTTTAACCACCCCAGGCAGGGGCATATGTCCCAGAGATGAGAGAGGGATAGAAAAATGTGCAGTTCTTTGGGCAGACAATGGGACAGCAACTTTCCCAAGGAATTCAGGAAAGAAATCCAAAGATTCATTTAGACAGCTTACTAATGACACGAATGAGAGCTGCATTTTCATCTTTCAGTCTCTGGTTGTCAGCACGCAAATCCACAAGCACCTGGAGGGGGGGACAGAGAGTGAGATGAGCAGGCCCACATGGAACCTGTATATGCACAAACTTTAAGGAAATCTCTGCGGATTTGGCATATCCATCATACACAAAGTTCTACACAGCTCCTACCTTTTGCATGTTTGGCTAATTTGTGTTTTCAACTATCAAAAGTCTGCAGTAATCACAGCTCTGTTTAACAATTTTAACCATGAATCGTTTCTGAAATTTTGAAACATTTCTAAATACTGTAAAGCTCAAGCTCTTACTTTGAGTTCATCTTCTAACTCAGATGCTCTCCGCTGAAGAAGTCTTTTTTCCTGAATAAAGAATAGAGCAGAATTAAAAACAAAACAAACAAAAAACACTTTACAATAAGGTTCAATCCGTTAACATCCGTGCATTAGGTGAAATAACAATATTTTTATAGCATTTATTAATCTAGGTTATACTACAGGGCTGTTGAATGCTTGAATCTGATTGGCTGACGAACATTCTAAGATGTGCAATTATTTTCAGGGAAACACAATGCTAAAGTAGTTCCAGGTCTTGACCGCATTGCAGTTCAATATCACTTCACCAAATGATGGTCACCAGATGGTCCTTAGAGAATACGACAGCATAAGAACCAAAAACCACAAAGACACTAAGCAAATAAATATATTAAACAACAGGAAAAAAGATGAAGTATTTACATATTTCCCCCCGAAATTATGTTTTATTATCTATGGAAGAACATACTCTCTTTCTCCCGCTCTCTCCCATACAAACGCACACACACTGAAACATACAATGACAAAACATACAATGACAAAATTCTTGTCAGCACTGCCCTATGACTTTATCAATAAAATAGTTTTGCAACTGAAAAGCTACATAATATTTCTCAGTAGTGATGTAGTAACGTCGCTGTTCTTGAAGCAGTTAAACCTTCAGTTTCGCCCTTAGTAGAGACACTGCTGTTAAAGAGTGTCTGTTCAGAGACACAGATTCAGGTAATGCAAACATGCTTAATCTCTCTCTCATATCAGTGGCTCAAACCTCCATTAGCTCTAAAATTACGTTTGGCCTTAGCAAAGGGTCCTTGAGGTGAGATGTGTAAGAAATTAGTCCTACAAGTGTAATAAGCTTAATAATTCAACAGCCCGTCGTGAATTATTTCTTACTTAACATTAATTACTTAATGTACCAACACATTTTTAACATTTCATCTTGTATTAATGAAAAAAAAAAGTTGATTATTGTTGCTGTTCATGATACAGTGCATTAACTAATGTAAACAAATTGCAGCAATGTTACCACTAAAATGAAGACACCCAAACAGCACTATGGCATGAAAATATAGGAACTTACAAATCTCTCCAACTCCAGCAGGGCTGGTCTGTCTGATCCATTCTCTTGATTCTGTGTTGATACAAACAAATAGAACAGTCAAACAAATCTGACTCACTTTAGTGGTTCAACATTTCTTTCCTATCCTCAGCTCTCAGGACAAAAAAAAAAAACCTCTCACCTGTTTGAGTTTCTCCAGTTGAACTTTACTCTCATTTAACTGCAGTTGAGTTTCTTGAAGCTTCTCTTTTAGATCTCCATTCTCTTGCAACACCTGCAGATACAACTGAGAGAACACATATAACACACATATATAAGAGTATGAACCACCTCTTTTATTACTTATTAGTTTATGAATTTATTGTGTAAAAAATGCATTACCTTACTATAATCCAGAGAAGAGTGTCTGGAAACATCTAACTGATGATCACTACAAAAACAACCAACACTGTTAAAAATAACATAACAAAAGTTTCAATATTACTTAAACCTGAATGCACCCACATATACAGAGAGAGATATCACAAGCAGAACAAAAAAACACAAGACACTATGCTACACAATCAGTACACACAAAATACATGCAGGATATACCACTCAAACAAAACTACACATCAGTAGATGTACAAAACCTTAAAAACACACACAAACCTTGTTCTGTTGTCTTGTTCAGCATCTTCATTTGCATCCATATCATCTGTCTGAACAAAAGTAACATTAATTGTCAATAACGGTCAATGTCAATAAATCTGTATTAAGAAATTTCTTCACTACTGGCACCAAATGCAACCGCAAAAATAATTATTAATTAGAGGTGTAAAAATTGTACAAACAAATCAGCCTAGCTACAAGACGAATACTGCAACAAGAATACAAAAACTGAATGACCACTGAATGCCATGATTGACAAATCAGAATCAATAACAATGTAATAAAAGGCATTAATATACAGTTGTTAATTCTTTGACCCAGATGTTTATAATTTGCCTACATATTTATGGTTGGTTCATTCAATTTTTCATAACAATGTGCAAATCTATTATGCATATTCAACTGTCCACTACAAAAAAATATCATATCTGATACTGTGATTGTATGGCTTGATTATTCATTATTTTGTCAATATCTGACTGCAGTGCAAATTGTCTCTCCAGTGACATTAATGCCTTTTCTTTTGGAAACAAGTATGAATTGTTTTAAAAATAATTAAATTATTCATAAATTTAATAGTGACCCAATTTCATGATGCACATTTCATGATGCATCACAATGATAAGATTAAAGAATCAAAGTCAGAACAGATATTTACACCCCTATTAAATAGGTACATTTTCTGATGAAAATGAGTGATGCTTGCTGTAGCAAAATTTGCTGCTACAAATGTCATAGCCTCACAAATTGTTTCCCCTTTTACCGTTTTTTTTTGTGTGCTAAATTCATTATCATAAAATCATTATTATTTAGCTTTTCATTCATACACTTAAAAAAGAACCATGGCATCACTTTAGCCATTATTTTAAAACAAGTCTAAAGGGAACCACCACAAACTCCTGTTCTACTGAGTAAATGTGGTTGTGGGGAACATTAACTTCAAATTCAGGTTCAGTTGCACACTTCCAAATCATCTTGACACCAAAGCAACAAAGCTACAGATAAACTTCTTTCTGTTATTCTTTGTAATATTCTGGTAAGACATTGTAAAGATGCATACTTTTAAAAGCCTATTTATATTGAAAATGCTCAGAGTGAGCGAGAATGCACTGGGTTTTTTATGAATGCTTGTAGCTTACCTCTTCAGCCAGCTGAACGATACCAGTTGAGCGTCTCTCTTTCCTCCCTTTCCTGCGGTCTTTCACTCCTAGTCTTGTCTGTGCATCTCCAGATTCCTTCACTGGCTCTGTGTCTAATGCAGAGAGAAAATTCTCAATATCTATACAGAATTCACACTGAATCAAAGAGAACAAAGAATCATTACTGTCAACTGAAAGAAAAGTATCAACTCCAGGTGCTTCATACACACGTGATAGTAATGAGACTCACCTCTCTCAGCTGGTGTTAGTGTGATGTTGGGATTCACAGGCTGAACACTGAGGTGCTGAGGTTCAGTGCTCTTAACAATACTCCGTTCTGCTTCCTTAAGATCCGTCAGTGTTACTCCCTGACAATCAAAATTCCAAAAATGATTTCATATTCATGATTTTTAAAATAATAATGTAATAATATTTTTTAAATAATAATAATGGTTTTCTTCTATTTTTTGGCACATTATTAACATGTTGTTAACAAAATATTAAACCAAACTACTCAATAAGGTTTTCTTTTCAAAACCTTTCAGTTTTATTCATTAAATAAGGACAGCTATATCACAATGACATTTTTGACTTGGCTCCAATTTTTTTTTTATTTTGGCTCCAAAAAATATCAAAATGAATTTTAATTCAGAATTGATTTTTTTTTTTTTACATTTTTAATTTCATGACAACCGCTGTCAGAATTCAAAGCGCCAACTGTGAGCAATGCTCCCATCATTATGCAGAATCAGCAGGAAGAATAACAGTATTTTTCTGGAGTACAGATATGCTCAGAGGCAGTCTTGTGCCACTCTGTACTGAAGTCTTTCTTATGATGATTTTGAAATAAAAGGTGAACTTTATCCCTATGAAACGTAACTGACTTTCCTTAACACCGACTTATTCAGGAAACATCAATCTGAAAATATTTTGCAGCACAACACGACTGGAAAGATAAACAAGTTGACAGACCCAATGTGTGTGATTAGGGTTGTGAATACACACCTGTGTTGATCGCCGTGACTGCCGCATGAGACGCGAGCGAGCTTTCCTCTGAAACTCCGACTCCTCGTCTCTCACTGGAGCCTGAAACCTGTAATACACAATCTCATTATTATTCATGAATAGAGCTTAAATCTAGTTTATAAAATGGACAGTTCCAGTCCTTAATTATGATTGGTTGAGCCATGTTTGAAGCCGTAGTAAATTACTCTCAAAACATACACTTGTGACCTCATTACAAAAGTATTACAGCACTAAAGACATTTTTTAAAAATGTCAGATTTTGTTGTGAATTTTGACTTAAAATGGTTAGCAAGCCATTAGCCCAGCCATTATTAAAAAATAAAGTTCTATGTAGTCAATAACTGAATATAGCTTCAAATTCACATAAATAGTAATAAAGACTAAATGTGCTTTCAGTATTTATGCAGAGGGCTTATTCAAGTTACTTAAGTTTACATTGTTAAATTATTTTTTTTTTAGTATTAAAATGTCTCGACTTGGTACTACTGATGCGCTACGACATTACCAATACTACCTAATCCTGAAAACTTTGCACTTCAAATATAACATAAGATTTGTACAGCATTAACATAAAAAAAAAATAAAAAATAGAAGTGTCATTGTAAAGCATTTAATTCTTTGGATCAAACTATCTTACTTCCTTCTGTCATTAGAGGCATTACTGGGGCTCTCGGCAGGTGACTCCTGCCTTTGAGGGGTGGGCTGCACAACTGCTGTGCGACTCGCTCTCTCCTGATCATTCACCTTGACTTCTTTATCCTCAATGGTCTGAAGAACAGAGAATTACAGTGATTAATCCCAAGCACAAGCAGACACATTCTGACAATGAGAGCTAAAACAGAGGAGTGTGTGTCTGACCCCTGAAGAAGGAACAACGCTCTCTGGTGTCGACACTGTTAAACTTTCTAGAACAGAGAAGAAAAACATCATCAAACAGATTGTACTCTTGTACAGGTATGTGTCATGTATGTGAATATTTTGAATGCTGCTGTATGAGAGAGAGAGAGAGAGAGAGAGAGAGACAAACCTGGGCTGCTTTCTCTCTCATCGTTGAGTCCCAGGCCTCCTGAGACTCCACGTTCTTTAGACTGGTCCTGTACATTTATTTTCTCCCTGCTGCTCATTCGGCACACAGAGCTCCTAAGAGAGAGAGAGAGAGAGAGAGAGAGAGAGAGAGAGAGAGAGAGAGAGAGAGAGAGAGA